CGAAAATGTTTTGCATGACAAATTTGGTGTGATATATATTAATGTCCTTTTATAAAAATTTGATCAAACTTAAGAGGGCTTGACTGAATACTATTCTAGCTAGAATGAATCACATATTTTTTGGGCTTCTAGAATGGAGGCAGTATAAGGACCTCTTCAATGGTATGAGCTATAATCACTAGCTTTAAACTGATAAATATAAAGGAGAGACACAGGTCACAGCAAGCAGTCTTGAACATCGTTATTATTTCTTGAGCCCATGTTAGTCTATTGCTTTTTACACTATTTACTATTTAGTGATTGAAAAATCGATTCGGCTAGCTCTAAACTGCACTGTTAGAGCCGCCCTAATGCAATAAGAGAAGAGAGGAACACAGTTATGGGTGTTGGGTTACTACACAGAGCGGTGAACGTCCGTTCGGTGGAATGCCAAGACTGAATTGAATAAAACGGTGGCCCCCCTGCGAGCTAGTGAAGAAACTACTCCATGCATTTGTCCCATAAAAAGAGTCGCTACGGAACTTGTGCTGGTCAAACTTTCTTAAATTTGACTAGATCATTTATAGAAAATATTAGCAACATTTGTAGCTCCGAATAAGTTCATTATAAACATATATTCAACGATCTATCTAATGATTTATTGGGAAAGCGAGAATGATAATTTTTATGCGACTGAGGGAGTGGACCAAAACATGCGTAACAGAGGATCGGAGTATGTATCTGTGTATATGTATCTCCATCGGAGCAGCCGCGGAGTTGAATCGCCAAACAAAAAGTCTAGTCCACACGTACACCACAGCTAGCGGTGGTTGAGTGTTGGCTTGCTGCTTGTGTTTGTTGATTCATTCTAGTCCTCTCCGCTCCGTACAGACGAGACGAGACGACTTCCGCGTTGACGAGGGCGGACGATAGATGTGTCGTCTGCTCGTGACGATCGATCGGCAGCAGTGTCAGTGTCAGTGTCAGTGTCTCATCATAAATTAAACACGATTCTTTCGTTCTTAGTTTTGATTCATCGGATCAGAAAAACGTAAGTTGTCACTAAAAAAAGCCGAATCCGAGGTGTTTATAAATTAATCTGATTAATAATAATCGATCAGGCAAATAAATGTTTTGACTTAATTAGAAACCGATGGATCCAATCCGAGTCATTTCTTAGAGAACAGTATTCATGAGAGTAAGAGCCCTAGCTACCAACGACGACATCACCTTTATTTCCTAGCTAGCTACCTAGTAATAGCTTGCATTGAGCGATGGACGACGACCTAGGCAGGTAGCTGGTCAAGGCCAAGGGTGACTCACGAGCTCCTCGACGAGACCCGCATCCATCCATATTCCATCGACCTAGTCAATCCTATTGATGACCAGTACTCGGCGGCAACGCATGCAGCCATCCATCGTGCAGGACATGTTTGAAATAGGGCATATTTGGTAGGGTTCTCTTCGGCTTTGCCTCAGGCTTTGAGTAGCCCGGTCTACCAAACGTTTTGTAAGAGTAGTCGTTTTTCCAGTGAAAAACAGATGAGCCTCTCTGAAAAAGTCATGCCAAACATTCTCATAGTTAGAGTATCTCCAGCAATGCTACCCAAATCAAACCCCCACTTATATGTTTAGGTAGTTACCTATTTTAATACTATCTATTTCTTATTGTTTTCTCCAGCAAAAATGTGTAAAACAGGCTTACAAAATCCATCCTAGCAGAGAATGACATGTGAGACCCCACTCACACTCACTTGTCACTATTGAAAAACTTGCCCATCGCTAGAGACAGGGAAGGACCGCACTGGCCAACAACAGGGAAGGGCCTCAGGCACACCGCGAGCGCCGGGGAAGGTCCGCCCACGCCAGAAAGGTCCGCCACGTGCTGGGAGAAGGCCCGCCCGCGCCGCGAAAGGACCGTCGCATGCCGAGGAGGCCAACCCCACGCTAAAGAAGGACCCCCGCGCACCAGGAAAGCGCCTCCCGCGTCGGGGATGGTCACGCCGCCTCCAGTTCGGCGAATACCTGAGGCCATGGGGAGGCTCCCTGCCAGATGGTGGAAGTTGCGGATGGAGGCCGCGGGCATCAGTGGAGTCAAGCGGGGGAGGAAACGAGCGAACTGAAATTTGGGTAGTTGAGTAGGGGGCCAACAGGAATAGTGGTGGGAGAGGAAAAATAGGAGGCCAACAAATTGGGGGGTGTCTAGTAGAGGGTCTGCCGGAGCTCGGTTTTTTCGCATCCACTACCCAAATTGGGGATAGTATGTCTAGCAGGGGGTGTTGCTGGTGGAGATGCTCTTAGTTATTACGGCTCCGGCTTCTCCTATACCAATAACCGTAGCAGTATTGTTTATAAAAATCATTTTCCTCTCTCATCATAAAATAGACATGGAATTAGAAAAAGCCGTAATTTGTAGCTTCCTCCGATTTCGGTGGCTCCTCTACTAGCGCACAGCTGGAGCCTAAAGGTTACCGGCTAAATGGGGCCTAAACTACTACTCCATCCGTCTCAAAATAAGTGTCGTTCTCTCTTCCTAAGGAGACGCTTTCAACTTTGACCGAATATATAATAAAATATTAATATTTATATTACATAATTAGTATCATTAAAGATCGTCGAATCTAATTTTATAATAAATTTATTCAGTGATATAAATATTGCTAATATTTTATACAAATATAATTAAACTTAAAAAATGGAATGGTACGAATACCACGTTTATTTTGGGAGAGAGAGATTAGCATAGATCTGTGGATGGACCACGAAACGAAAGAAGGAAACGAAAGGCTTCTATATCAAAAAAAAAAAAAAAAAAAAGAGGAAACGAAAGGCAGCCACATATTTTGGTTGGTTCGGTGGTGTTGGACGACAGACAAACAAACAAACAAACGTAGGTCCACGTGATCGTCCTCGTGTCATCCTGTGTGCGCTTTCCATGCGCTCTCCTTTTCTTGCTCGTGCCACACGATGATGCTCTCTCTCACTCTCTTGCTCGTGCCACACGATGATGCGCTCTCTAGAGCTACCAGCGGCAACGTTTTAAATCATACGGCACCTGCGCTGGCCGCCCGCCGCGGACTTGACGCGGCGCATCATCAACTGAAAATTTGCACGCATAGGCACAGATTTATTATATTTATCATCCTATATAATTAAATTTGTTATTACACCCTGGAATAAGCTAAAATGGAGGTTTTGTTTGTTGGACAAGTACTATGAAGACAAAAGAAAAATGATAGCCAAATTTCGGTATGTTGCATCCAAAATACCGAATAAATTTGTTGACCTCGAATGTATTCAACATTATTGCATGTTTTATTCGCAATGGTTGGATCTCTTTTTTTCTTCAGGAACGCTTTAAAATATGTTTGAACATTGCGATAATATTTTGGGTATTTTCCAGATATTTATGTACATTTTTCTATTTTTCTAGAACTAAGCCCCATTTTTTAAACCTTCTAGACATATTTTTATGAGCTCAAATTATTTTATTTGGATTTTTCGTGTTCCAACCTATCTTCTTTTTTTAGAATTTGCAGAAGCTTAAAGTTTTTTTTTGTTTGAAACCCCTATTAGTTTTAACCAATATATTTTAATTAAAAAGGATAAAATTGCCTTGTAAACCATCTTAACCTGTGTACAGAGGTAAGTGAAATGGTTTTGAGAGTTGAGGGAGGTAGTTTATCCGTCTTGGAGTTTGAGGAAACCTTGACCGACAATAGTTTAGAGAGGTCAAAAGGATTTTCCCCCCTGAGAATATAATTGATAATTGATTGGAAAAACTCCATGTGACCTCCCCAACTTTCGCCAAAGTTCAATTTGCCTCCCCCAATCAGAAAACTCTGTTTTTATTGTCCATCTTTTAAAATCGTCCAATTTTCCACGGTTGGTTTCGACAGTGATTTTGGTTAATATGGCACCACATCAGACACGCTAGCATGGCGCCACGTCAACCGCTAGGAGGTAAATCAGACTATGTTAATAATTCTAAAGGTCAAATAGATTTCATCATAAAAATTACATAAATAAATTTTCAAAATGTATCCAAATACTTTTTTGAAAAGTTATGTAATTAGAAATCTCTATTTCGATTTAATATTAAACATTCATACAAATCTTGTCTAAGCTCGAAAAGTTTTTGAAATCAATTTTACTCCCTCCATCCAAAAGTCTAAATCGTTTAAGCGCCTCGGGCACGGTGACCATGGAGAACTTCAAGTGTGTCCATTTTCATTTAATCACCATGCTCTCGTTAATCCTCAGAGCGTCTATTCGTTTTCCCATGTAAACGGAGGCTAACGTCGTTGCATGTGGTCATGTGGAGATGCATGCGGAGGCTCCTTAGATAGAAAACGGAGCTGATATACTCCAGCCATGCATTTTCTACTGAATGGCAGCCATGCATTAATTCAGACTGGGATACCAGGAGTTTTGAGCGTTGGAAACCAAGGAAAATAGGAGAGAGAAGCTTAGACGATTTAGACTTATGGAAAACTTAATTTTGCTAAGACGATTTAGACTTTTGGATGGAGGGAGTATTTTTGTTTTCTAAATTCATGCTCTATCATATACATGGTGCATAGCTTGAAATTATTTGAATCATATACGGTCTCATTTTGATGTTTATTTGCTAACAGATGCTCTTATTATCTATTTTTACTAGTCAACGCGTTGACAACATAGACCACGTAGGAGTTCATAGATGACTTCTATGACAACACAAGTATTTGATCCTGTTCAGTCTGAACACACGTCTTGAGTCTAGGACTCAAACTCTAGGTGAGTGATTTCAACCACAAGGAACTAAACCAGCTCGCAATATTTTGTTAAGTTATTTTCATATCATTTTTATGTGTTAATTCTATGGTAATAATTAAATAATATCACCCTGTAAAAGGCCTCTATAATAACAGTATAAGGGCGCTAGCTATCAAGTTGAGTATAGCCGCTATACAGTCAAACTGTACATCCATCAACCAACACCAAGCTAGTACTACTAAGCTACGAAGACAAACCAAAGATTAGAAATGGCAGACAGGCTCATTAACGAGCTGCAGGACGAGCTGGTCAATGGTCCAACCAGGCACGGGAACGTGCACCGGTGACCGGATCGGTCCGGTCAAGTCCTCCATCTCCTCCAACGACGCCGAGTCCGCCGGTCCGGTGGCCCAGCCACCCCTATGGGTGTCGGCGAACAACCCGCCGCAGTAGTAGTCGTCGGCGTAGTTATAATCGCTGCTGCTCCAGCAGGTGACGTCGTCGCCGGAGATCACCGGAGATTCAGTGCCGGTGGTGATGGTGGTGGTAGTAGAACAAGAGCCAGATGGCGTAGTCGGAACGATGCTATCAGTGTAGGTACTGTCGTCATCTTGAGGTCGTCGTCCCTTGGTGGTGGTGGTGCTGGCAGCAGTAGCAGCAGGGACGACGATGGTGGTCGATGTCTCGAGGATGACCGGCGCCTCCAGCGAGTCGTTGGCCGTGCAGGTGTGCTCCGCCACATACACCACCGTGTACTCTGGGGTGGTGGTGGCGGCGTCACCGCCGTCGTCGTTGCGCTGCACCGTCCGCTTGGCCGGGCAGCCTTGCTCGGCGCTCCGTGTGCACCTGTAGTAACTCCTGCATGGATAAGAGATATATAATGGGCGCCAAGTAACTCAGTGCACTGAAAGTTTTTTTTTTTTTTTGACTTTTGCTATTTATCTGTCAAAAGATTTTTGGGTACTAAATTTGTTAGATTTCTATACTTTGATTTTGTGCTTTAGGATTTGTGCTACAACTGTCTACTGGATCGCATATATAAAGAATCTGACAAATTCAACACATAACTAGACACTCCCTTTTTTGTTATAGCAAAACAATACTGTGAAGATTTGGAGGCAGTAATAATCAGCTTATAATTCTGTAAAAAAATGCAGCTTTTTATTTGCAAGCATAAAACTGTCTCGATCGATCGGTCAATGGTGTGCTTGACTGCATTGCATGCGACAAGGCACAACGTGTGTCACGACAGTCATATTTGGTTAGGGCGCGTTTACTTCCCAAAATTTTCTGGGGTTAGGTACTGTTTGGCTATTGTACCACTTTCGTTTGTATTTATTAATTAGTGTCTAATTATGGATTAATTAGGTTCGAAAGTTTCGTCTCGTGATTTCTTATCCAACTGTGGGATTAGTTTTTTTTTCGTCTACATTTAGTACTCCATGCATGTGCCGCAAGATTCGATGTAATACTTTAAGGTGAAAATTTTTCGAATCTAAACAGGACCTTAGCTATCACTAGCAGGGGACCCGACCCAAACTGATGGAAGGGACAGCAGCAAAGGGTACTGATACTGAGTAGTACTCCTACTCCGTAATTGAATCATAGGGATCTGGCAACTGATACTAGAGTATTAAAATAATATATAGTACTAAAATAATATTAATAATAGAGTATTAAAATAATTACCTGGGGTACATGGCACCTTCAATCTGCTTCTGCCCGTACTTCCTCCACCGGTACCCATCGAAATCGGGCACTGACGTCACAATCGACTTGCTCTGTTGCTTCTTCTTCCTGCAGATGGAAGAGTCGAGTCATCAAAATCATCAGGGCAGGGTTGCGGGGCCGGGGATCCATTCGTGCAGCGTGGCGTGATGAGGGACGCGGATCGGAGGAGCTGGAGCTGTACTGCTGGAGCCATGGACCACGTACGCACCTTCTTTTGCAGCGAGGAGGAGGATAATGCTGAGTCCGTGCATCAGCTGCAGCAGGCGCCTCATCGTGCTGTTCGTCGTCCTTGGCGTCGCTGCTGTCGTCGTCCCGGTCTCTCTTGCTCCCCTGACCCTGTCGGCGCCGTCGTCCGGCGCCGCCGCACGACGACGCGTCGGCGGAGGCGGCCGTAGCCGATGACGCAGCAGCAGCAGGTCCGGATCCGCGTCCGCCGCCAGTAGTAGTACGGGCCACGATGGCAGCTAGCGGTAGTCCGGCGGCGGACTCCGCCTTAACCGCCGGAGGCGCTGGTGTCCAGGGCGGCGCCGGTGAAGCAGCAGCAGGTAAGAACAGTAGCGCGCGGAGCTGCGCCAGGAGCTCCTCCTCCCGCCCTGCTAGCGCCGCCGCCATCGCTCGCCAGATGCCAGGAGCTCCGACTCCTGCTGCTGCTGATATGTTTAGTTTCTCAGCTCGCAGCTCTGACTTGCTTGTTTATAAAGAGCAGACGTATATGCATGATGCATCATGGATTCATGGTCCCCCACACGCGTATGCACACGTGGCCTTTTTGCCGGTATGGATCGGCTCCGAAAATAAACTTTCCGCGTGTAGGCCCGCGATCGCCGGATGTGTGCAAGCTGGCCTGTAACCCGGCGAGGATCACTGTTCATCAATACCTTCAAAAACTCGTTACTGTACCCCGCCCGTTATTGTAGCAACGCCACCCGTTACTGTTTCGTCTTTCTTTATTTTCGCCCATTACTGTTTCGTGTTTCGCCTTTTTTTTTTCCTCTTCCTTCTTTTTTTTCATGGTGCATACCTCCTCTTTTCCCCTTCCTGCGCGAAGCGCTGGTTTCCCTCTAGTTTCTGTATGTATATGTCTGTACGTGTTGCACGAGGTCCGTACTTGCATATACACAAGGTACTAGTACGTACTACTACTTCAATTTTGTTTCGGGAATGCTTCTTTACTAAGGGGCGCTCGTGCGGCACGCACACCGTGTGGGCCGTCCCATGTGCGCACCGTTGCCATCAGATGCGTAGGTACGCGACGCCTGCACCACCCCTGCGCGTTCGTGCCTGCGCCCGACCGCACCACCCCCAACCCTACCACAGATGGTGACATGTGGTGCTCCATCTCTCTCTGTCCCTTCTTCCTCAACTCCAACGGGCTTAGAAGGGGCTTGGGAGAGGTAGTAGGCCGGCTAGGCGGTGGGATGGTGGGAGGGCCACGGTTAGGGTTCCGACGGTGTAGGAGGTGGCCGGTCTAGGTTGGGACGGGGGTGCCCATGGCCATGGCGGAGAAGAAGGAGGTCGACTAGGACAGTGGGCGTCCAAACCTGTACATGAGTGGCGAGGAGGTGGGCGGGGTGCGGCCAGCGGCGAGGCAACTGCTGGCCGGGGGCGGCGGCGGAGGAGGCGGGGGTGGGGGAGGAAGGGGTCGCGAGAAGGAAGGTGAGCTGGCGGAGTTATGCACGCCTGCACACACGGACGCTAGTAAAGTCCATTTTCTTTAACTCTATTTCTCGTCTCTTCTTTGTGACGATGACATGCAGTGTTTTGTTTATTCTCAACTTCATAAAGAGTTTCCAAGAGATTGGACCTCATGTTAATTATTAGTTTACTCGAAAACTTCTATATATGGATTGATGTGCTAAATTAAATAGGAATTTTGTTGGATTCTAGCATGTATCCCATTCTTTGTTCCAAGGGAACACATAGGAAAAATTACAACAACAAACCTAATGCCCCACAAAATTCCTCCGACAATTATTTGTTCCAAAGGGCTTAAAGATAACATGACCATGCATATGACTGGAATCAGAGGTAAGTGGGGCTAATGGAGTCGCTTAATTACAGAGACAAGACTATGTAGTATTATTAGAGCTAAGTGGGGGTGATGGAATTAGAGGTAGCTGTCCATGCAATGCATGCAGAACACTTGTTACCATTGTACTCCATGAGGTTTACCAATTAACGATTAACCACCTAGCAAATTATTCATGCCATTTTGCGCAAATTTGGAGAAATTTTTTTTAGAGAGAATGTTCCCCCGGCCCGCTTTTATATCAATGACACAAATTATATGCCGTATACATCCCCGAATTCAAGGCGCACCTTCCACATTAGCAAAAGAGACCTAACACCAGAAATAAGATTATAAAATACCAACCTCTTTCTACCGACATCCTCACATCCATCGGCATATAACCATCACCCTGTCAAAACTTCAAAACTGTAAAAAATCTTTTATTAGCGTGATCAGGTAGAAGGAAGAAGAATAGGAAGTAGAAAGAAAGAAAGGGAAGAAGGGAGGACAAGTGGGAAGAGGAAGAATCGAGCCCCGTCTTGCATCTCAAGCTGCATCCTCCCCTGGCTGAAAGTGGTTTTTATGATTTTCTTGAATAAACTCGGTGTACAAAGTAATTACGTAAGGAGAACATATACAGTTTTTTTTATCCCCTAGCTTTCTTGTTTATTTACAAATCTTTTCACATAACTAGCATATAATCGCTTCTCTATAAAATACTGCTCAAGAAAGTTTTCTCTGAATTTAACTTGTAAGTTACTTTGGGAGCTCTGCTAAACAAACCCCCATGATAATGACACGTGTAAAGCTAGTTAATATAAGGTATTTTTATTAGGAGTTGTGCAAGAAATCTGCCTCTAAAGTATATAGTTTAATTATTTATACACATCCTGAAAACTAACTATTTTGCAATAATTGATCTTCTAAACAAATATATGCATACTATTAAATAAAGACTTTTCCTTTTGTGATGAAGAGCAAGTGGGCGGTGGACCTCGACTGTCCTTTTACGGGCCCGTTTCACATGGCTTCACCGGCCGCTTCACGAACAGATTCACGCGCACATATGCCAAAGGCTCCCACACCGCTCAGCTTCACCACCAAATAAAGTCCCCGTTTTTGCGCTGAGAGAGCGGAGAGAGATAATGAAGCCGAAAAACCTCACTTCCCCTCGCTTCCTTTGCCTTTGGTGGGTCCCATCGCGACAATGTCCAGCTTTGCCCCATGCTGGTGATGGTGCGGGTGCGCGGGTCGCCGGGCGCGCGGACCACCGGAGCGTGATGGCGCAGGGTCATCGGAGTGTGTGGGCCATCGCAGGACATGGGTCATCAAAGCGTAGACGACGCACGACTGTCGGAGCGCGTAGAAGTCACCGGGGCGCACGAGCTAGGTAGAGGCCAGCGGAGTGGGGTCGCCGAGGCCCGCGGAGTCTAGGCCAGCGGAGCGTGTTTGGTGCGGCTGGCATGGCACGTGAAGCGAGCACGGGAGGATAAGGAGGAGAAAAGGAAGAGAGAGAAAAAGGAAAGAGAATATAAGGTGTGAAGAAAAATAAAAAAATAAATAAAGGGAAGGGCATTATTGTCGTTTTAGTTTTTTCCTACCATGAGAAGCTGTTTTATCAAACAGTACACCAAAACAGCTCCAACTGTACCGGTAAAGCATGCACAGATTGCCAATAAAAACTCATTCACCGATGAAGCTGAGATGTGCCGACCCTAATTTGTGCCGTACCTGTCATGGCATGGGCCAGGACGTACGCTTATTTGTTTGACACATGCATACGCGGTCCTGAATTGCGTGCACACTAGTGATGTCAGCACCATGACGTATGCCTGATTAGCTAGCTGTACTACTGTTTGTTTCTTTAGGGGTAGTACAATACAACCTTTAGCGTGTGTTTAGTTTCAAAAACTTTTCCTAAAAAGTGCTACAGTAGCCATCACATCGAATCTTGCGATACGTGCATGGAACATTAAATGTAGACGAAAAAAAACTAATTGCACAGTTTTGTTGAAAATCGCGAGACGAACGTTTTAAGCCTAATTAGTTCATGATTGAACACTATTTGCTAAATAAAAACGAAAGTGCTACCGTAGCTAAATTTCAACTTTCCCCCAAATAAACACGGGCTTAGTTTTTATTGACATCATCGCGCATTCATTGTCGATCATCTCAGGACCCGGGTCGCTGGATATCCACATCACATCTATAGCTAGGTTACTCATTTGTTCCTTCAGCGCAGCTGCGCAGGGGGGATGTTGCCTGTTGGCTGTTGCAAGCCACAAAGTCCACAATTTCTCTTTTTGAAAGGGAAAAGTCCACAAATTAGAGCACGGCATCGATCACTACTGCCATACATGTGTGTCCACACCGTTTTGAGTGAGTGTGAGGATGTCACATGGAATGGAAAATATGTGTGTGAATATATACTTATTGAGACGCCGTTGCATATATATGACAAAGAGACTTCCATTTTAGTTTATTTCCCATGTTCACAACTTCGCAGCAACCGACCCGAATCATACATGTCTTCAACGATAATTAATTTTGAATTCATGATGAGTACATATAGGGTGTATTTGGGACCATGGTATGTCAGCCGCGCGAGCCGTGCGGTATATCAGGCATTCTCGTAATTGTCTCGCATTAACGTTTGATAGTTCTTTTTTTCACCCGTTGCAACGCACGGACGTATTTTGCTAAAAATCTTTGCCCTTTTTTCTATAAATTCAGCCAAGCTTAAAACAAACTTGACTTAACCAAAGTTTAAGAATTAATTTATTAATCAGGGACAGAGGAAGTAGATGCAGCTAGCGCATGTATTTTCTACTGATGCCATGCGTTCGTTAAATTTTTAAACGCCATAATTGAATGGCATATATAGCACATAGCCAAGCAACAGTGAGTGAAAGGGAGGGACGGGTTATTATATATACTGTATATGACATAAGTATATGTATGTACGGTGCCAAGATTGAATAATACAGTAATCGGCGAGTTGAATAAAACGGTGGGCCCACGGTGAGCTAGACGACCAAGCTAGCAAGCAACATAGGATCGTACAAGGAGTCTCTATCTACGTACAGTATGTATGTATCCATCGGAGCAGCCGCGGAGTCGAATTGTTGAACACCCGAATCGCCAAAAGTCTAGTCCACACGTACGTGTCGTACACCAGCGGTGCTTGTGTGTTGGCTTCGTTCTTAATTGTTGCAGTGATTAGTATTAATCTGCCGCTAGCTGTCTGCTTCTTTGTTTCATTCTTCCGGTCGCCCGTCCGCCGTCCCCTCTCCGATCCGTAGAGACGACTTCCGAGTTGACGAGGGCAATGTTGTCTGCTAGTGGACAATCGGTAGCAGTGTCACTGTGTCAGTGTGTGTAGTGCCCATGAAGGGCCACACGTACTACTAGGAGTAGTGAATGACTGAATGACATGAGGTTCGCAGCAACGTCATTTTCTTTATATATATATATATATACACACACACTGCGGCTGCGTTATTAGTTGCTGGCAACCAGAACAAGCTAAGCTAAGCTAAGCTCATGGGTAATTTAGGTGAGTTGGCGTTAATTTGGCACGCATCACACATGCATGCATGAC